GTAGGCTTCGAGTATCCAACTATAAAGTGTCGATAATAGTTGACGAAACCAAGGAAGAATCTCAACTCTAGGGCCTTCTTTGGTGTTCGCCACTCTACATAGCCTGTACCTTTAATTTGTTTATCTAAATAGATCCTTCACCGATTCGATGCCCTAAGAAGAAAATCTTCATTTGGGCAAAGTAGCACTTCTTTCTTTTCATGAACAAAGTGTTCTCCTTAGAATCTTAAAAACTATTAGAAGGTACCATTTCTTCCTTTTCATGAATATGCTCCTCGATCGTTTGGTTGTAGATAATGATATCAAGTAGATAACCATAAACTTGTATAGATACTTTTTGAATAGTTAGTTCATGAGAGTGTAGAAAGTGATCAGAATGTTAGTTAAGCCGGAAAACATCACCAATATCTCAAATGCTCCATACTTGGTCATATAGGTAGTCTTCGCTTCATCGCCTTCAAGTCCTCCCATATTCACTCAACACTAGCCTTGTTGGATCTCTTCCCAATGTGTTCTCTATCAAAGTTTTATATTCCCATTCAGATATATGGTTGCTATCAAAACTTTAGTTTCTTCAAAATCGGAACTACTGTTTTATGTTGAAAAAAATTCTTAAAACTCTTTCGCATCCCTGACACCCTCGTAGCAATGCAACTTGGGTGCCATTAAGTTTTGTGGCGAAACAATGTGGTTGTTGCTCCCTCCCGCATTAAGAGCCCCCTTGAATAATGAAATTCTGGATGTGAGTTCTACCACAACTTTGTATAAGTGATGCACAGAGTCTTTGGTGTCTTCCGTCAATCGATCTACTTTGGGCTCAACCTTGTCAATAAGCGAGTCTGCCTCCTCTTGCAAGTTCTCTATCTCAAAAAACCTTTGGTTGGCCTTAGTAGAGTACTTTTAGACTCACTTCTAAAATATTAAGGTGGGTTTCCATAGTTGTAAGCCTCTCCTTATGGCTTCTCTTTCCGGTTGGCTTTCTGGATTGCATTTCCTCTGCTCGCGAAGAGTATCTAACCTCACACTCGTTATTTTTACTGTTGTGCTCCTCTTGAGTAGCTCTAACAACTTGAGAGTGAGTTTGTACTTGCAACTCACCGGTGGTTGCTTGGGATAATGATTCGACTTACCTAGTCTTGCTCAATTCACCACCGTGTTCGTTTTGCCATGATGAGATTATAAATTTTAACTATTTGCTCGAACTGCTTGCCCGCTTTAATAGTATAATATCATGGACTTAGCTGAAATTGTCTAAGTTATAAGGCACCTTTACATTATAGGTCTGCAAATGGTCATCTTAGTTGCAATCTCGCTCAAGTCCTGAAAAACCTGTAAAAGAGCAAATTGATTAGTTTAAAAAACAATCGACGAACAAGTCCTAATGTCTTGCAAAGGGAGCAGCTTTACAAGCAATTTAGTAAACACTAGGTGCACAAAAGAGATAAGAGAGGAAGAAAAAAATAAGAACTTTAAAAGATAAATCAATAGTTGTAAGTCCACAAATGATTGTTCATTGGGTATCGGGCATGTTGGCAAGTTCTCGTAGGCTTTACATGTAAACTTATGAATACAATCAATGCCCGAACTACCTCATACCCTTGTCAATCCTGTGCCACCTTGGTGGTTCTAGGGTGCTGAGATGGCTGCCATTTTCCACTATGTCATAGCTTGTAGAAAATAAGCTATGTCACATACAAAATAGATCATTTTAGAGTAGTTTTGCATATTCTGGTGAGCGATCACTATGTAGTCTTGCAAATTATTCCTGCTTACGATTTTCAGATGAAAACACATAAAAATAAGAAAAAATATAACGCTAAAAATATGTACAAGCAAATAAAAATGACGAACGATCCATAGATGAATGTATTATGGGTGTAAAATGATCATATGTGATACTGTACCATTTTAACCATCTTATTTTTACTTTATGAATAATATATTCATTGTTCTCTTTATCTTATTGAATAATTGATTCGTAAAACTTTTACTTAATAGGACTTCTTGTCTATTCAACTTAATTATATTTTTTTCATCTATTCCTAGAATTACTAAAAGTATATCTCATGTATATTCGGTTTTAATTCTACTTAATCTAAAATCTTTAGTTTGTAAAGATTATCTCCATAACTTAAGTTTATAATTAGTTATACTTATGCTCTCATCAAACAAGATAAAATCAACAAATAATATACACCAAGGAGGTTTGCCATATAAATAACTAATAAATTTATCTATTATTAATGTGAAAAGATAAAGATGTGAAAAGATAAAAATTTAATATATAACTTCGATGAAATCTTATACTACTAGCAAACTCACTAAACATACATTATCATACATATATCTTTAATAACATTAATATAATTAATGAATATATTTTTAAAAAAAAATCTATTATAATAAATCTCTAGGGACGCTTTCAAATAAATAATCATACATGTATGCTTCTTAGATGCAATGTGCAAATATCATGTTCAAGTATGAAGTCGACTGTAAAATCCCATTTATATTTAAACACATACATACTTTTGGTTCATAAAAAGAAGCGGCTTGTTACATGCTCAAGAAATGGGCACAGAGTTCTTAAATACGCAGCGGACAACTCTGTTCATGTTCTTATGCACCTATAAAAAGCTTTCAAGAAATAGATTTTTTTTAATAATTTTTAGACATGTAACCGTGTTACAAATTGACTCTCTTATGCTCATAGATAGTGCTTGTAATATTTTGTGCAAGTAAAATATATATTGTTAATCAGACAATAGAAAAGAGAGATGGATACAAGATTTGGGTTTATGATATGCTTTTATACCACCAAAAATATTTTGATTGGCAAATCTCGAATCTTTCAAGTTGTCAGGAAAGGGTATTGATGAGCTAACAACATAATATGCGAACTGGTAGCAGCAATGCGTACAGGCACCTGTCCAAACACTACACCCCCTGATGAACATTGGTAGGGTCGGAATGTGAGCTAAAGATTGTTTTCAAAATATTTTTTTTTTATGAAAACTTTTCTGGAATCACATCTAGTTTCATCTCCAATATCATCCATCATCAGTGGGATACATATTTTGTTTGCCACTTACACTTGGACTCTTCTTCTCACATTATATTTGACTACAACTTGGCCCAATCCTAATGGGTGGGTAGCCTTCCTTGGGATAACACTATATACTTTTGTTTTCAGCATTTCACTTTTTGTTTCAAGGGAGCTTTGGATTGATGACGGATGCTCTATAGAAAATATACCTTCCCGTGAGAGACTCCTTGGCATCATTGCCATCTCTTTTTGGTTTTTTGGAACAATCGATGTTATACAATCGTTTCAGCCAAAGTTTTCTCCCTTTTAAGGAAAGCTCTATTTATCGTCTGTCAATAACTTCTGCGAGTCCTCCCAGGATCTCAAGGGGCTTCATTGAGATCTTAAAGGGGTGACGATCCGAGTCATTTATGTCTATTAATCTTTCAATAGTAGGACATGTTTTGATACCACCCTCGCGGTAATAGTCAGCAGCCACGACAATGCCAACGTAGAGCCTTAGGGGTGACATGGTGCACTGCGTCGACACAACACCTCGAACTCAGACAGGATGGTCACTTGCTCCTGCGACATTCGAGACCGTACAATACGATCTCACATAGTACAGAGCCACCCCAGAAAGCTCGGAACGATGCTGCTCGACGAGTGTCCGTGGAGTTCGGTCGACACCTGCACCAAAGGTATGAGCCGACCGTCCGAGGAACCAACGACCATTAACAAACTATCTACGACTAACTTTCAACCATAAGTATAAAAACCAACCTCCTAAGCCGATCGTCCGAGGAGTCAACAGTCATTAATAGACTATGTACGACTAACTTTCGACCATAGGTATAAAAACCAACCTCCTGACTAGCGTCAAAAGGAAACAAAACAACACCCAAGCATGCACCACTGTGATGTTTGTTCTGTTTATCCTTCTCTTCATATTACCTGATACAGTGGAATGCCTATGGATTGTCAATATTGTGGTGCAACAAAATCTACAACCAAATCCTGTTAAATTAGTGAACAAAAAAGGTTTACCCTTCAATTACCTGCCTATTCTTCGGCTCCTTATGCTAGGATGTGGGTCTCGGTGGTCTGTCTTTTTTTCCCATTATATAAAAATGCCATCACAATCTTATTATGTCATCCATCACTTTTACTTTTATTTTACCTAAACCGAGTGAAATTCTTGTGATATATTTTCTCCCATTATAAAAGACCAGTTTTTTTATTAATCACAAAAGGAAAGATTTATTACTTAAAGAAGGCAATTATAAGATCACCACTCCCCCTCCCCCTCCCCCTCCCCCTCCCCAAAAACATATAAACATAGTTTGGCCAACCAATTCACGACTCTATTGATTTCCTCCCCTCTCTTAACGGTGTAAGCCTCAAAATTATCCAACAAACACTAAATGTCTATTCCCCACTCTTTAACAGTATAAGCCACAAAATTATCCATCAAAAACCAAATGTCATGCAAAACTTTGTATTTAAGAGTGAATAAAATTACGAAATTAGCCATACCAAGAAGAAACTTTGAAAAATAGATTGGAACATATCTTTTCAACCTTTGAAAGGGAATGATTCCTGTAATTTCATATTAAAAAAATCTCTTGCTATGTTGTAAATATTAAATAAAATGCACAGCAACAAGATAATCCTGCTGACCTTTGTTTTTCTCACTCGTTTGAGGAGCTGTGTTCTCGTTAGGATCCCTCCAGCCAACAATTCGACTCGTGTCTGAGCATTTGACTACATGAGTTATCCCACATAAATCAGAGCTGCAATGAGTCCTCCTCCTGAACTTGTTTTCTTTTACTTCTCGTTCCCAAGCAGAATTCAGCAAACAAATAAGAGAATGGAAGCCAATGGATATAACCAAATGACATACTCCTGTGTATCCACACCTAAAATTTATGATCAGAGTTGGGCAACAACAGCAGTGGCTTGATCGATGCTTATAGTGCTTTTGATGAGATTCTCAATTCCATAATATTTAGCAACATTCTGCTCCTCTCTATTGGACTTAAAGCTACATAAGCTTCATCGGACTGCCTATGCAGAGATTTCACCAGTAACATAAACAGCATAAACATCTGTGTGATTAGAGCATCAAACGTGTTATCATATCTCAAAGAGAAAAACAGCACAAGGGAGATATATCAATAAGCTTTTTACTGCTTAAAATTCTACAACATTTGAGACGGGTAGCCTCCAACACCTGTATAAACCAAATCTACTTACTCTTCTGTAAATCAATGGTTGGCAAGTTTATTGGTACAGCCTTCGTATCTACGTAGCAGGCTTAGCTGACCAAGCATGATAGGATTACGGAACCATCAAGCCTGTCGCATCTTAAAGTTAGCAGAAAAAGTAAACACTAAATGTGTAGCAAGGTAAGCATTCATGGGGAAGTACATACCATCATCTGAGGCCACAGACCAATCGATGGGATTTGCATCAGTCTCCATGTATGCCACGGATCTCTGCTTACTCCCAGAAACACTCTACTGGCATGACCACAGAAAAGAAAGAAAATGACAACACAAATACATTCAGCTGTGGGCCAAACCTCGTCTGACGCTCCATCTTTGCCTCCATCATCTGCAGCAGCCTCAAGCTGCTGTGAGCCAAACCAGCCATGCCACCTGCGGCGCCACCGATGCACTTGGACCAAGAGAAATGATCGAGGGCAAAGGGTGCAAGAAACTTCTACATTCTTAATTCTATTGTTCTCGTACTGTTAATGGTGAAGCATCTCAAATTATACGGATCAGATGACCAGTTCAATGTTTTATCTGCAACATGTAATCTATCAATTGGTTAATCTTATTCCTCCAAGTGAATGTAGGAACTTATAATTATTGGATGGTGTTTTTCCTTTGTGATTCCTGTAATTAAAACTTCTTGATATGTATTGTTTTAATAAGTAGGCATACACTTCGTACAATACCTATCAGCAAGTTGATGCTGGCCTTATATAACACAGTGAGAAGCATATACAGATGGCCTGCAGTAGTCCCTTTATGAACATATCCAAACATTCGGAAGCATAACCTCCAGTCCAGTACCTTGCTATTTGTAAATTCATGGTCACAAAAGTGAAATTTGTAAGCACGATGGTTCAATTTGACACATACAAATAAATACTTAGCCAAGAAACTACACAGGTACATACCTCTAAATTTAAACTGCACCGTGTTTGACCATGAGATCACAAAAGCTACCTGCAATATTATGGGTGATGATCCATAAGATAACATTAACAAGCCATCATGACCAATTCCCTAAATACAAGAAGCTACATCCTACAGGCTCAAGTGGATGCTTCTCTTGAAATATAGCAGAGTTAGTTTCTTAGAACATAACATAATTTTCAGGTGAAGGAGAAGCTAAAAAGAGATTTTGGCATCATGTTCGATGCTTGTTATCATTATGATATGGACAAACAAACATGCTGAACTTCTACACGCAAATCAGTCAATTGTCAGTTCATGTAGTGTTTCGGAATAGGACATACTTCAGCCATCGGAAGTGGCTTTCGAACCAGGATAAGAGAATAAAAGCATGTAGCATTCTGAAAAATCAACTCAGCCAGTTCCTTCTCAGGTACTAAAAGCAATGTTGTGACATAGTTCAAACCTGAAAAAAAGATTATTGTTCTTATGGTACTTCAGAAATTGGTTTAGTGGTAGTCAGCATTGTGCAGGAGAACATGATAATTTTGTTCCCTTTGTAACATGTGCAACAATTTGTGAACTGTAGCCTTAACTTGAAAATGATCGACACAGAAAATATAATCTTCAGAATAACAATTTCAAATTCATGAATTATTAAGATAGGGAGTTAGTCATGAAACAGCAATAGACTGCGACATATAATCACCAAATCCTCGCCCAAATAAAAAAGGTTTAGGATGTCCTCGATGTAGTTTAGCAAAAAAAACCAATAAGCAATAAAATGTGAATGATTTAAATAAATTTCTAATTCTTGTCATCGTGATATAGTATTCAACTAAAAGTCGGCTATCAGCCGGTGTGGGCTCAGAGGTATACTGCTCTAGAAAAGATGATCTATTGTGCAGACTCCACTAGAAGCTAGACACAGGGTTGTCTTCACATGGGAACAATCTTAGTCTCTAAAAGACCTACAGAGTTGGCACTTAGATAAGAAAAGCTCATCTCTTTAAGCTTCAAGGTTAACTACTTAACTATCAATACTCAATCCTCTGACCATCTGAGAGGTCAAAGTAGTCTTACCATAATGGCAAACACAAGCTATAGAATCCTTTTATGAAAACTAACTCTTCTTGCAACACAATGCAATTCAAGGGGTAAAATTCAACTATTGTACTGGGAATAGTGGTCCAGTTTGCACTAGGGTAATTAGATTAATAACACAGTAGTAGTAAAGCAGATAAATAAAGGGCCATATAGTACATACTTTTCAGTGAATTAATGTACGTCCCTCTATAACAGCATATTTATATACGACAAAAGGAGTTGTTTACTATCTAAAGTGTAAGGCATCCATGTTCCAAACCAAACACATATTGCCATCAATGAAGGTAATCAAATTCATCAAAAATTATCCTCTCAAAAACTAAGCAAACTGTACACAAAGAATATCTTGAAATTAAGGTCACTCTGAAGTTGATCTCAAACAGACCTGTCAGGTCAACAGACAATATCTGTTCCTGAAATATTTAGAATGGCCAACTGGTTTCACTGGTTCTGTTCAAGTCAAAGTTATATGACCTTGCTGAGTCAGGTTGGGTTCAGGTCATGCTACCTTAACCCATCACGTCATGATGGCCCTTAACCTGTCCAAACACCATGGGTTGGTTCAAAAGCAGTTCATTCAGAACACAGGCCCACAGCTTATATGGTTGAGCCAAAAACTCTAAACCACAGGATAATTTAAATAGCCGGGTTGTTGTTACTTGTCATTCACTAGCTTCAAACACTAGAAGTATTGAACACCTATGCTGCCTCTCCCTTCTCCACGATCTATTTCTTCCTCTCCATTGACTCCCATAGCTGGCCTCTAGGTCTCTACCTTATTCTCTCTTCCTATATCCTCTCACCGTGGCTACCGCCTTCGAATGTTCAGGACTTTTAAGTTTGAAAATCATCATAATAACTCCATTTATGGTAGCATGCAGCTCCAAAAGGCCAACGATGTCATGTGCTAAAACCAGCAGTGACATGTGCTACATCCGGAGAGGGATGGGTTGGCATTTTAAGAGTAGCGGTTGAGAATAGTATGTACTTGGGGAAGCTATGGAGCGTCCTCTTTCATGTCTTGGTGGAGACTGGAGAGAGAGGAGCTTCTGCCTTTTGCACTCCCCTGTACCTCAATGTGTGGGCCAACTGACTAGGAAGGTTAAGTTGGGTCGAACAATCACCTTGATCCATCAGGTACAGTCAAAAGATCTAACCCACTTCCGGTCAGGTCGAGTTTGGGCCAGGGTCAAAATGCCTATGATAAATAAGCTCATGCCAACCCCACTGGACCCAGAACTACTCGTACCCAAGCCAGCTAATCAGTTGGGCTTTTTGAATCAAATCAACTCAGTAATTACCTTGCCTAATCCTCGTCTTATGACTACCACTTACAGTGGTTGCTAGTTCGTACTAGTGTTCTCTTGGCCCTGCAGAAGGAACCAAGATCAGTAGGTAAAAAGATGCTTGTTTGGCGATGCAAAAGCCCTATGGCAACCAGCAGTTGCATCTCTTAATGTTAGTATAATAATATTAACTGGCTTGAGTGTTTTCTATGCTTTCTGTGGCTTCATGGATGTAAGAAACCCAGAAAATGATAAAGAAGAGCCCAACTTGGCAAAGCCAGAGACCAACTCAGCAAATGTCATATATGATGCAAAATACCAACTGCTGGGAAAGGTCCGGTGCATCTGGTGACAAAAAAATTTAAATGCTATTACCAGATATATCAAGATTACTGAAGGATGTAGATGATCAAAGAATCAAATTACTTGAATTTTGTTACAGGCTTACAGCTATCTGCTATCATCAAAGAGACGAGCGTTGTATTACATTTAACAGCAAAATAATGAATGCTTCTTCAAATCAATTCTATTGAAGACCATTAAAGCAAAGAAAGATCTGTGGTGTTCCAAGATTATTAGTTTGCATCTTGGTTTATCATCAACTCATCACGCTATAAACCTAACCAACAACAGATATACAAGTTACATGCTCAGGTAGAGGTACCGATAGATGGATTCCAATCAAATAGGGACTCCGAACCAAGATCCCGTCCAAATAAAAACTTCCCATGAATCTCACCAAAACCAACAGAACTCAAGCAACCAATATCCAGTAAAAGAGAAATAGAAGAGCTAACCTGAGATGAAACGTTATTGGGGGCAGATTGGAACCCTGAAAGAACGCGACCGCCTCGGCGCCGCTAATCTTTCCATTCCGAACAAAATCCGCAACACGTCCATCGCCGCCGCAGACGACGCTACACCACCGAGAATACCCGGATCAGAGGTCCGTCCCGAAGCAACCCAAGAACGTCGATTTAAGCGAGGGACCAATCGCCGGAATGGCAGACGGTGTCGATCGAGAGCAGGGGTTGGGAGGGCACCAGAAAGGGCGCACGGATGAGGGATCGGAGATCAGGCCTATTAGATTCGAGAGGGGTTTAATCCTCGGGAGAGGTGGAGAATCCGTTTGGCTGTTGATCAATGTGTGTTCTTTGTTTTGTTTGTTTCTTTCTTCTTCTTTGGTGACGCCTTATAGAAATGTCCTTTCGTCTTCCTTTTAGAGTTTCACTTTTTTTTTTCCCTTCGTTTTTAAAGTCCATTCAATTGCAAGTCCAAAATAATAATAATGAGGAAAATTAAACAATATTTATATATATTTTATAGAAATATAAAATTAAGGGTGATTTTCTTGAAAAAACTCATTTTTTCCAAAAAATACCCCATTTTTTAATTTTACGAGATGATTTTTTTATATTCTCATAAATGTCATTTATCGTCATTTGTTGCCCAGCCACCTCTATTTGCAATTCTCGTCATCATTCTTATCGCCTTTGCCTCTAAAGTCCCCTTCTTCGTCCTCGCTATCCCACTATCCTCACCTCGACTCTTTCTGTATATCTTCCCTCTTCACCTACTCGAGTTTTGGCCTCTCCATCGACAAGCTCAATGTCATCCTCCTCTCCCCTAACTCAATCTACTCTCTCATCGTCTTCCTTGCCATCATGTCTCTTGGCGTCAACCTAATGGTCAAAGAGTGCATGATGAGACCTATTAACAATGATAGGACTATTATACTATAATGGTGAAGAATAACTATATGTTTGATGGAGAGTTAGTAATGAAGAGATCCAACAGTCTAACTTCTTTAATGAAAAGATCAAATCCTTGGGAGATGAAGGGGGAGGATGCGAGTGGAGATGGAGGTAGTGGGGCGAGGAGGACGATGTAGGGAATCCCAAGGGTGACCACATTAGTGGTGAAAAGACAGAGGCGACAAATGACAAATAATGATGAAAAATATTTATAAGATTACAAAAATTAGGACATCAAAATTAAAAACATTGGACACAAGAGTTGAAAAAGAATATTTTTTTACGAAATCAATCTAAAATTAATATTAAAATATAAATATAAATATTATAAAAATAACAAGACAATGACAAAATAATCAATAAAAATGATATTATTGAATATACAATAAAACATAGCATAACAATATTTTTTTAATATATTAAATAAATAATGAGAACAAATTTTAAAAATAACTAATATAAAAATATTAAATATTAATTAGACCTAATATCATTATAGTGACAGATAAAATAATAAAATATGACTTTTATAACTAATATTTTAAATGACTAACTAAAAATAATACGTACGATAAATTAAAACTTAAAACTAAAAGAAATATTATTTAAGGTGAATTTATGATAAAAACTTATCTTTTTCGGTTTTTCTTGATAGGTGTCTTGTTTCCATATTTTCCAAAGGGCACTCCTTATTTATTTGTCATAATTTATGAAAATATTAGAGTAGTAGGTGATTATACCATAAGGATTGGTCCACAAGATGAATCGATATACTGATTTAGATTGGTTGTCACTATGAGACAAACTGATCCCAATTCCCCTATCTATAAGATTATAATATTAAATACAGTATTTTTAAACAGACTTATAATATTATATTATAATATCTTATAATATTAATTTTTTATTTTTTATTAGTTATAAAATAAAATAAAA